TTAGGTTATAGCCAGCGCGCTTAATTTAAGGGGCTTCCAATACGACGACGCTTACTGATCAGTACGACTAAGGGAACACGCTGGTGAATTTATCTTTGCCTTTCATTGATCCCGAAACCACTACGATCCTAAAGAAAGGACTAAACTTTTCTCTTCAAAATGGTAGAAATATTCTTGAGGACATTCAAGTAGGGGTCATACACATCTCTGACAAGTTCATTCAGAAGACAAAATGGGAAATGAAGATGGTAATAATACCTAGAATATTAAAATATTATAAACCAATGCAAATAAACAGATTTGCGAGGATTAGAGGATTCTTAGAAAGGAATAAACAATTTGTCCTTCAGGCAGACAACGAAGCAGCGACAGTCGTAATGGACATAAAAAAATATACCGAGAAATCGGCATATATACTGCAAGATAAGTCTACGTATTGTTTGCTAAAGAAGGACCCAACTATGAAGATCAATTGGACCTTACAAAATATGCTGAAAGATATGTATAGGAACGAGGAGATCAATGGATGAACATTCACTAATAAAAAAAACGATGCTTGACCACCAGTAGCCTACGGGTTATACAAATAAGGAGAACCACTAAGGCTGATAGTTAATTACAAGTTTGGAGCAACACATAAATTATCTAAGTTCATATGTCCAAAATTCAAGAAGTTAAACGAAGGATTTTCAAACACACCCATATGACTTGTCTCAGAGGATGAAAAACATAACACTGGAAAAAAGAGTTTTACTGGTGAATTTTGATGTATGTACGCAAAGCTTTCTGGAGAAAGGGCGCGGATGACCCTGTTAGACATTTTGGATCAAGAAGAGGATATCCTTAAAGCAAAGAGTATCAGAAGAAAATAGTTAACACGATTAATCAACTTGACAATAAGTACTATCTACTTTACATTCAACGACAACATATATGAACAGATATTTGACTTCCTATTGGATCACTTCTTTTATCTTTATTAGCCAATGTATATATGGACAAATTATAATAGAATTTCAAAGTTTCATGGCTGCAACCAAGAGTTCTTATGCAATACCTGGATGACTACTTTACAATATGGTCGCATGGACGAG